AAGATAGCAAGAGGAGACGGCTCGGCATTTGTTTCGACAGAAGGACGGGACCGCGGGTGGTCCCGAGCAGAGCCGACGGGACGCAGTGGTGCGTCGACAATCAGGCCATTGTGGGCTGATCTGATGTGTATCATGCGCGTGCACGGTAACGATACCCGATATGCCACTCTGTACACCAATAGTGAAATACCAGTGGAGACAACCTTCTGCTTCGTCGTGCCTCGTTTTCTTTGCATTTGTGTCGGCCTGGTTGTGAGAAAGTGCAGGTTGCTTGCCTTTTGCACTCGGCTTTCGGGAGGGATCGCGTCTCAACAGTCACTCATTGAATGATGCTCGGAGGTCACGGGAAGCTTGTCAATGGAACCTCCTTCCACCAGGACTTTACACTCATTTCGTACCCATCATAGGGTTAAGACCCAACGCAAATGGTCATGGTTTTTTTTTTTTTTCACGTTGGATCCTCGATATTTACCCTGAGCGCTTGCAAAAACCATATGACTCGAGGCCACATTTTTTGCCAACATGATGCATCATACACCTCATTTTCACCTTCACCTAATCACGTCCTTGCGAGCAACACGTACGAGAAGAAAAACCATCAAGAGCCCCGCATTGTTTGTTCCAGCAACACTCATGGGAAAGCTGGGCACTCAATCATGACAACCTCACCCATGACAACAGCGTAACGAGCAATGCAGTAAACCAAGCTCAGTGCTTCTTGCAAGCCTCCCTCACGGGCGGCACGTCCTCGGCCCCCCAGTGCGCGGCAAAGGGGTCATCAGCCGGGTCGAGCACGCGGTTGTACTCGGCGCCAATGGCGAGGCGGACAGCCTCATCCTCGCCCCAAATATCCGAGACGTAGGCCAGCGCAGCGTCGATGCCGGCGCTGACGCCGCTCGACGTGTAGACGTTGCCGTCAACGACCCAGCGGGCCTTGGCGATCCAGTTGGTGGCGGGCCCGAGGGCCGTCGTCTGGGCCCAGGCGCGTTTGTTGGTCGTGGCGTTGCGGCCGTCGAGGACGCCGGCGCGGGCGAGGATGCCGGCACCGGTGCAGATGGAAAGGATGTGCTGGAGCGAGGGATAGACGTCGCGGACGTAGTCGATGATCTGGGTCACCTCGGCAATGTTGGCGTCACGGGTGCCGGCGCCGCCAGGGACGAAGAGCACGTCAAGGTCCTTGGGCGGGTCGGCGAGGGTGTGGGTAGGATTGACGGACTCGGACCACCGAGAGCCGACGCCCCAGGTTCCAGGGGGGGTAGGTGTGGACGGCCTCGAGGGTGGGCCGCGATGATGTGCAGGTTGATGCGCTGGGAGAAGGAGAAAAATGTTGAATATGTCGAGGGGTCCGAAGACGTCAAGGGCCCTGGAACCCAGTGAAGAAGGACCATCCCAAAGTTGACGGGGCGCGTGTCCTTTGGCCGGAGCATCGCTGGGCGGGGGGCCGTAGCGGCGCCCATGGCGAACAGCGCCG